AGAGAAACGATGATTCTGAATTACATGTTCGCCGTTCCACCTGCCGTAAAAATGATGCAATGTTGTTCCACTTACGAAATAAAGCACCGTTTTCCGCCATGAAGCATGAAAGTAACTCCATTACTTATGTATTTTGTAGCACATTTCAAATTGTCATGCTAAAAATAATTCAACTTGCCTTGCGAACTCGCGGGAAATAATTCACCAATTTTAATCTGTGCTGTAAAATAATTATACACTACCTGGATAAACATATCTAATTAATTACTATTACTAGCGTAAACTCAATGTATATATGAACGCTTGCCACACCCGACTGTGCACACAAAAGGTAGCGTGATAGTTCTCGCGGATATATTGTGTTCATGCTGTTTCCTTGTGTACCAATCAACCTGCCCAAGAAAACATTTTGCCTAACATTTCAGCAACCTAGAATATTTTCATATAATAATAATAATAATAATAATAATAATAATAATAATAATAATAATAATATTATTATTATTATTATTATTAATAATTATAGAGGTTTTAAATTCCAAGACCACAATATAATTATGAGAGACGCCGTAGTGGAGGTGTGTGGAAATTTAGACTTCTTGTGTTTTTGAACGTGCTCTGACATCGCACAATGCACGGCTGTCTACTATTTTGCCTCCATCTAAATGTAACTGCCACGGCCGGGATCGAACCCGCAACCTTCGGCTCAGCAGCTGAGCACCATATAGCCACTGTTATAGCGAGGTGTACTCAAAGATTTATCATCGTAAGTGGCAAAGTGGGCTCATTAGATGCCACTTTGTACACTGCCATTGAGTTAGGACCTAATATAATGAGTGTATCACTGCCCAAATGGCCTATTTAATTTTGTAGTTCTTCACGAGTGCCCAAAAAATCACCCAGCGAGGTCTCTTTTCAAACGGATGATAGCTTGTGATTGCGTTCCTGCGCGTGTACATTGGCTGGCGTGTGTGTCAGGGCGAGTGGGTGCAAAGTTTCATATATTACTTTAGTAGCAATTAGAACAAGAAACGACAAGCACGCGAAAGAAAACAAACCTCGAACTTAAACGACAACATACATCCTCCACAACAAATGAGAAGCACTAAAAAAAAACGAAATATGCAAGACAAGGATAAAGAGAAAAAAATGACTTCTCAAACTTTTTTCAATCTGCCTCTTCAAAATTGCCCGCAATCTGAAGAGAGTATAAGATGTGCGACGCCTGCAGTGAATCTTATACATTCAGTCCAGAGAGTACATTTGCTGAATCACGAGCCCCCCTACAACGATTACAAAAACTACAGAAGAAAACATGGTATACCTCAACGCTTAACGCAGAAACTTGTCGTGTAATTCAACGAATCTGGTTGCTTCTAGGTTTTTTAGGCCTTAAATGGGCGACGAGGGTTGTTTTTCGCTTGCTTCTAAGTTGCTGCTACGCTTTAGCTATAGGTGATTTTGGGCTATTTCTACGTTGATTCTCGGCGCAGAGAGGTTCGCGTTAAGCCACACAGTCATACAGACGGCATGGATGCCCAAACTCCATCGAAGACAGCAACTAGCGCTGAAGCCAAGTGGTCGCACCTCTCATACAATCACAGAAACAACATGGACGTCCAACCAGAGACATAATCGCGCTCAAACCAACAGTTCGTACCTCATGGATCTATACGTGCACGTCGTCATTGGCGTAAGTCTTCCATTACTTGGGCGTAATCCAGCAGCCACCGTTGCCTCTGCTTTTCCCATCTGAGGCCTTTTTCCTTTTTAGTAGACAAGGGGCGGGATTTACCCACTCATGTGGCACAAACCCGTTTATGATTATGATGGTTTTTCGCAGCCACCATTGCCTTTCAGACCATCAGGAACCACCGACATCGGCGCCTCAAACCTCTCTATACTCTAAATAAAGTTGGTTCTCCCCCTCTTTCGTTCCCTTGTGTTGACCAAACTGTGCAAATAGTATCTATGGGATTTGTCCTATATTCGCGGCACATACCAGTCATGGTACGACACACATATTACGGCAGCTAAAATAACTTCACTGTTAAAATGAGTATCCGGGGTATGGAAGATTACCCTTTTTAGGACTAACCGACATGACACAATCGTACATCTTTCTTGAGAAAAACTGCAAGGGAATGAAGCTTTGCGCTCAACGCCCCTTGAAGGATGAATTTTTTCCCTTCTTTCATGTCCTCCGTAATGCTACAACAAGTGTACTAGCACATACGTACAGAAAACGAACTTTAATCGGTCCCGAGGTGTCACTGACAGGGTGCCCTAACGTACAAGTGAATTTTTTAAATCATCTTCCTCATCCCTAAACAAAGTGGCATGTCAGCGTTATATAGACGCCGGCAAAAATCTCTAATTTTTAAGAGTCTCTCTCTCAGGCTGTCCGAACTTTTTTTTCTCGTGCACCTAAATTTATTTATGGGGGCACCTTGCATTTAGCCCTCATAGGCGGTCGCCGTAGCCAGAAATCCAACGCGGGCCCTGGGGCTTAGCAACGCAACATCTTAGCTATAAGCTTTCGCAGCTGTTTGGTAAGTAGGGCGTTTTTACTGCTACGCCAACGGCTGTGAATTCGTTGAAAGTTTGATTAGCGCTGCCTTTGTAGTTCCAAAACTACGTAATGTATAGTCGTCTAACATGACAACCACAAACTTGCGATATGTATAAGACTGAATTTTACGAAGCTATTCAGGTCTATTGATTCCAGCTGAACGCTATGTCAAGGAACGTTTTAAGCGATAAAAATTTATATATCTGAATGACACTTGCCTGTAATTTGATCAGTGGACCGAGCATGGCCAAAGTCTTTATCTGTGCACCTTTGACATGAGCTAAACAATCTGGCCGTGGCGCGAGATTCTACGAGAACCATACCGAAATAATTATACGCTTTTTACCCAGAAATGAGACTACTTCTTTTTTGATTGATATAAAAGCTATGTATTATTAAATTCCCCAAGGCTCTTTTAACAGCGTAGCGGAAACTATACAGCCACTGGGCAATATATAGCTTTCCTAAAATCATCGCGTATATAATATTTAAGTTCGTTCTTATCATTATTTACCTATTTACCTTGGTAACACTCATGTAGAGTGGAATGAAGGCATCCTATTCCAGCAAGAGGTTTCTGCATTCGATCATGCATTGCCTTTTATTTAAGTCGGTCGGGAGGTTGGTCCAGCAATTTCTATTAGTAGTTCTGGGCGACGCGACTGGTACGCAGTAGCATCTACCAAAAAAAAAAAATTCTAGCAAACCAGCACAATTTGTTCAAACAGTGGCTATGGAACACTCAAAAGTGTTGTGCGCTTTTAAAGTCGCTCACAGTAACTGAGCATTCCTTGAACAGGGAAAAGAAAAACGGTTTTTGAAGCGTTATTTGGATATAATTTCATTTTTTTCTGACGGTGCCTAGTAGAATAATGTATATGTGACCCACGAGCTTGTGCTGTTTTTGTGTTGCGATTTCCCGATTTATCGGTGTGCTTCTCATTAAGAGAGCTTTGTAGAGCAGTCCAGCCAAGAGCTAACAAAGCTATTTCATTTGTTATTCACTGTGGTTCTGAGCACGTGAAGCGCAGCATCATTTCCTCGTGTACTGAAAATAGCCTCTCAGGAAGTCATGCATTGAGTGCCTACAAGGTAGTTTTAGCCACCAGTTTCCTCTCCTTGCTGAGGCAATCATCCATGAGCGATGACGTGGCCTGTTGCAGGGAAAACAATGCTTAAGAAACTCAATAAAGATCCCATGGATGACAACCGTAAAAAAGCTCAGGAATTGAGCCAGAATGCGCCCGCACTTTTTAAAATATGCCATGTTTTACGAAAAGTGAACAAAGCAAAGGAAAAGAAAACATTTAAAGCTGCCTTTACTACATCTGATATGATCACACAATTATGAAGCGTAATAATTAAAGAAGACATACAAACAAATCCCATTGCACGAAGAAACAGCGAAAAATATCTTTGCAGATTCTCCTCGAAACATTTTATAAACAATTTCATTGGCATCCAGAGTGACGTACGTTGGCCAAGCAAGACTCTACCTTAACGACAAGATAACAGCGCAACGTAACAAAGAAAACAGTGTCAACCTTGTAGAAAATCATTCGTAGATGCTGTGCTTTCGCAAGTATACTGCCAGTTATTGTTAGAACACATCACCATTATTGACGTCCATAATTTTTCTCTTATTTTTCATCTTCGTATTTTATGGCTCCTTTAATTGCTGCAGTTACCTAGATGAACAATACGTTTTTGTCTTCTTGTACTTCTTCTAAACTTCATTATTTATTCTGTACATGACGCGAACACGTCCTCCTGGCTACTCCCACGACCGAACAGGGAGGTCGAGCCTCCTAGCCTTGTAGTGAGCGTACTGGACAGCCCAGACTTCATTGTGCAAAGTTCTTGTTAGTAAAATGCCTCATGAAGTCATCCATGACACCGGTATGGGTTATTGCATGGCCAAACACACAAGAATTCTAAGCCTATACGATTTTACGAAAACTAACTACAACGTGATGTGATGGCAATATAATGTTTCATAATCCCTGAACGGTTTCGGCACGTGTCTTGCGAAGTAAAAATAGAATACGAAATAAAGAGTGCCCTGCCGCTAGCCCCGATAGCACAAAGGAATGGGACCATACAGGTGCATTGTCTGGCATGCTGTTGTACAGAAAAAATGCATCCAGTATGCACAAAGAACTTTCAAAGTAACGCCCCCCCCCCCTCCTGAAGTCTTTATAAGGTCATTCTAGAGCTCGAAACCTGTTGTTTTTTGGTTTTGTTGCACATGCTTCTTCAAAAAGAACGTTTTCTTTAATATACTTTCTTGACCCTCTCCCTCCGACTCCTTTTCTGCTGTTCTGTCATATTTTTTATCAGTCATAGACAACGTCAACAAAAATATGCGCAATACCGTCACCTCAATTGCCTCTTTCCGTTTATTTATTTATTTATTTATTTATTTATTTATTTATTTATTTATTTATTTATTTATTTGTGATTACACGGTCTCCGCACAGTCGCTCGCCGAGTTCAGCACTTGCGGCCGCCTTTCGCAGCACACATAGCGATGTGTTGCTGCCGCATGCGGCCAGCAGCCAGCCCGCTGTTTTGTGGGCGGGCACGTGGCTTACTTCTCGGTCGGCCGAGGGCGCGTTGGTTCCGCTTGCGCGCCCTGCACAGGCCGGTCCGTTTGACGCAGCGTGATCCCACCGGGCAGCGACTGCACGTGGGGCCCTCCATGTACACGGGCCTGCCTTTGATGTTGCCGCTGCGGTGGAAGCGAGTGCTTTTGAGTGCGAACAAGGGAGGCTTCAATCACGTAGCATGGAGATCCACTCGCTGACGCACACAGCCATATATAGAAAAAAAAGGGGGGAAAAGTTGGCCGGAGTCGTTTGCGCCTGCCTCAGGAATTGCGTAGCTTTGCATGGTACGTGGATCTCTAAAGTGTTTGAACATACCTCGCAACAGGCCGGATGTAGTATGCAAGCTGGGAAACATCTAACGGGAGCCTGCCATTTATGAAGCGCCTACACATAGCGGAGAGTCGGCGCTGCCTCGAAGAGACGTCGCATCGTGCTCGGCATACCACGAGCGCGCTGTGTAACTCGCAGTTACAACTGCTGCGATTGCTCTAGGCATTCCCACTCACATATATCTCTGTTGGCGTAAAATCTAAGGGAAAAGAAAATGAGGTTCTTTGAACTGAATGGAGCACGTTAAAAAACAGTGAAGTGCCTCACGCTATTTTTCCCGTCTTCTTTTTATTTCTGTCGGCAATGTGTCGAAATCCCAGTAAGCTGCGCTTGAACTACGCTTTAGAAACTTATACAAAGAGTACCTATAGTCTTTTTGGCAATTTTGGATCTACTGAAATAAATTTAACTTACAGCCTTTGCTAAAAAGATCCCGGATACGATATAAGTTAACGCACCCGTTCATGCAAATAAAACATGAAAGAGCACTCAAAGTAAGTGGCTGAGATGAACGATTGGCTGTGCCTAGTTCGTTTAAACTAAACTTTAGCGAAGTGAATTCAGTCAGAAGAAGACAGTTTGCGCAAACATACATTAATATCACGACGGATGCTTTATTGGCGAAGATTTGCCGCAATCTTCTCTACAAAGAAAGATGATGTCGAGACAGAAAAACGCCCGACAGCGTCGGTAGTAATACTGGAGGAAGGGAGGCTTCGAGTTCGCAACAGCGCACTTAGGCAGCCACTCGCAATGACTGCGCAGGCCTGTTTTGGTGACTGGCCTCTCTTGAAGCATGGGATCCAGTAATGCTAACCGTCTAAAGAGTTGTCATATGAGACGTCGGTTGAAGGTCTTAAAGTTTTTGAAGTGGCAGTGAACAGTCAGATATATAGTTCTTTCGATCCTCACCTACTATGTTTGTTGGCATATGGTTTCTGTCTCCGCAATTTTTTCTTCCTATCTAACCCGCCATTTCCACTACTGGAGGGTAGCGAGGCAGAAGTTTCTCTTGCGGTTCACCTTACTGCATTTCCCTAATTCACCTCTCTGACATGGAGGATTGGTGCTTTTCTTTTTCATTTCGAGTAAGTTTGCGCGAATACACCGAATTAGAAGAAAAGCAGACGGTATAACAAAACTGAAAGGGGAGTTTACTGTGACAGTACGCATATATACTAAAAAGAATGGGGAGAAATATGGCATCGCATTCAAATATGAATGTGCAGTGCAATCCTCACTTAAACGGAATGCTATACTGTAATATGCAGTTCTTACTTTGCTAGCACCCTAAATGAAACTGTTGGCGAAGGTTATGTCCATGAGCTGTGAAAGTGTGCACACAATTCCAGCGGCGCCAATCTCAAATGAATTGTTTAAAAGTGGGGGATAGCAGGTACACTTGCAAGCCGAAAAGATATACGCGCACCTTCAAAACTAGTGTAGTCCACTTTCCTACTGTCAGTACACCACACTCTACATCTATGTTTGCTCCGCTTATTCACACAGCCATTTTTTTTCTAAAGCATTGGATGTTTCGCTATAGCCACTGAGGAAGCCGAATGTAGTCCCGTCCTTTAGCAACTGAAACAGAGAAACCAACAAAGCCAGAGACGCTAATTAGACACGCGTCTGGGTCGCCAGCCTGCACTGAGGGAACAAAAGGGCGAAGAAAGAGACAGAATAAAGAGCGCTTGAGTTTCAATAGACAAACTGTTACTCATACTGATAAATGTGCAGGCATACACCATGTGATCCATTTCCATAGAAACAGATATATTTAAAAAAAATTCTTTTTAGTGAAAGAGTGATGAGATGTGGGGTTTTCCGAATTTCTGAAGAACATAGATGTTGGGGTTTTTTTTATGGAGTTATAAATGCTGAGAGGGTAATGTTTTGCGGGGTTAGGATACGTTTATTGATATTCTTTATTACTCTCTTAGTCACAGTCACGTGAACGATTTACCCAGTTCCCCAGGAAAACGACCGAATCCGAATTAGTGATTTCATGAGCTAGAACTATGAGGAAGGTCATGACAAAACTCGGCAACTTTAGCTTTAAGCTTGTGAATGATGACGTATGTTGAAATTTTTTGCTCTCTATTGATAACAATTGTCCCATGAAACAGGCTTCACCAGAGCACTCTTAGGCAAGTGCATACTTCCTGACCTTGCAAGATTTTGAGGGGCAAATATTCTAGCCGCACGTATTCCCCAGAATGGACAAGCTGTAACCTAACAAAAAAAACACAAAGTCTGTACATATGCAGCATCAGAAGTGTTGCTGCGCCCAAGTTCTCATCATAAACACCTCGTTATGTGAATGACAAAAGTTTGTTTTCACTTCAGGCAAAAGCAACAAGAGGAGAAAGAGAGGGGCGTCCATGATGGGTCCCTGCTAATACTCAAAACTATGAAACTTCAGGTATGAGGCATTTCAGCTGTTCACAAAAACAAGATTCGACATCACACCATTGCGAGCAAACAGAACTAACCTATTTCTTAGTAGGCACACAACGTACGTGTTTGTGGAGATGTCAACTAGAAAGCATATAATATAATCGTCCAGTTTTTCGTATTAAAAACTGTAAACTAAACGTGGCTGAGGAATCTGTTCATTCCTATATTCATTTGAGTATTACCTCAAGTATCTAAGATATGAATACGTAAAATTGGCTGCCTCCTGGATGTTTTCGCATATTTGCGTAGGTGGGTAACTGCCAAAAATCAAACAAAACTATGGTCAGCGTATATTGAGTTGTGCACTGTATTAAGACACCGCTCACCTTGACAAAGCACCACAATGTGGAACAAAGTGAGGCTCGTTATTCCATTCTATGGCACATTCGAAGCGTAGTAGTTGGTAGTGAGACGATGCTGAGTTTTCCTTCCCGCAGAAAAATCCTGCAGATTCGGCGGCTCGTGGGAATCGGTTTCATGCGAAGTGGCCGGCCAGTGATTGTCTGGGCTGGGATGCGTTTTTTTTTAGGGGGGGGGGGTGAAGCTTTGCTTTCTTTTTTAATTTGAACCACGCGTCTGCAGGTTGATCGACGGGTGTTTGTGAGTGCAGTGGTTGTGTGACATCGCGGGCTTACCGGGAACATCGGCTAATGGTGTTTAAAGGGTAACTGGGGTCTGACGAAAAGCCACAGCTCGTGTTCGACGTCAGCCTTATTGAGATGAAGTGTAGGGTGCGGTGATGTGAATGTGGCAAGAAAATTTCGTTTGCGTATGCCTCCGGGGAAGAGCAACATTTGATTATAGCTCACTGAATCATAAGAATACGAATGTTATCTCTGCTGTAAAAACAGACTCAACACTGGAAGCCCAATTGACGTTAACCTGACATGTTCCCTATATGAAAGGAGTCAATATGTCATGCTTATTTAATAAAAGTAGATAGCTAGTACTACAACCGCTATTCACGTTGCACTGACATTACCCGTACGTAGGGTCTTTTTTCCGAAGCAGCTTCAAGACTTGCCACGGCTTTTATATGTGAAGCATTTCTCAGCGAACTTCCGCGACTTTGAGCGTATCTATCTATCCACGACATTTCGCTCTCCTGGCTGTTTCGATAATGGTATCGATACTAAGATTCATATGGCATAACATGGTATGGCATATATTGTCACGAGGTCGTGACGTGGCCAAAGACAGGAAACTTCGTGTTGGGATTTAACTGTTTATTTGGGCGAACCTGTGCCCGGTAAAGGGAAAGTCTAATTACAGCAGCAGTCTTGCACAGATAGCAGTCTCGGACTGATAACGGCGAACGCAGCGTCGGCCTTCGATCAACTACTGACAAGCAGCGAAGCGCGTCGCCATTTATACTCCCGCCGTCGAATGTTCTAGCGCTATCGCTGGCGGCGGCGTGCGTTCCAGAACAATCTGTACCATTCGCACAGTGGGCGTGATCTTATCGAAATGATCTACTACAGTCCGGAGCCCTCTCTAAAACTGCAGGCGCGGTTTGCGCTGAGAATCGTGTGGTGTTTTGGGACGATAACAAAAACTTGGGAAATGGAACGTGGCATTGCCCCCCTCTGAAAAAGGCATCGTCTCGATGCTTTAACTAAAGATGAAGGTACAATATTAATGCAAGAAAGTACAATGAATAAATTACGATACAACAATAATACAAAAAACACTGTTTCAGTTTGTTAACGCGCATGAAACGGCTTGAGGCGTGCGACATGGACGACGTCAGGTCACGATCGGCGTCGTTGAGAGTTCGTGATGCCGTCGGGGACAACCTCGTAATCAAGTGGGCTGAGACGTCGAACCACCCTGTATGGTCCGAAGTACCGTCGCAGAAGCTTTTCACTTAGTCCACGTCGGCGTATCGGCGTCCACACCCAAACACGTTCACCGGGCTGGTATTTCATGAAGCGTCGTCGAAGGTTGTAACGGTGGCTGTCGGTCGTCTGTTGATTCTTGATACGGAGCCGCGCAAGTTGTCGGGCTTCTTCGGCGCGATGAAGGTACTCGCTCACATCGAGGTTTTCTTCGTCGGTGACGTTGGGTAACATGGCATCGAGCGTCGTTGCCGGGCTCCTTCCGTAGAACAATTTGTATGGAGATATCTGCGTCGTCTCCTGCACCGCCGTGTTGTATGCGAAGGTCACATACGGAAGAATGGCATCCCACGTCTTGTGTTCGACATCGACGTACATTGACAGCATGTCGGCGATCGTCTTGTTAAGCCGCTCGGTGAGGCCGTTGGTCTGTGGGTGGTACGCTGTCGTCCGGCGGTGGTTTGTTTGGCTGTATGCCAAGATCGCTTGAGTTA